GGGAAAAAGAAAGATGGGATCAGAATTACAGGCAGATAACGGGGAACAAGGATAGGGGTTTTTTTGATATAAACTTTCAAGGAGTTTCCTTTTGTGAGAAAAAGCTTTCTGTTTAATGATTTCAATTTAATTTTGAAAAAAAAAAATCGTAATTTTTTTGACAGTTATTTGTGAGGTAAAATTGAGGGGGAAAAAAAAAAGACTATTGTTGTAGGAAAGTGAGTTTTTTTTTGCTGCTGAACCATATGGTTTTCGTTAAATTTAAAAAAGAAAAAAACGGACGAAATTCTTTAAAATTCTTGCAGCAACTTTTCAGTGCCAATTTATCAAGTTTTTTTTTTTGAAGATGATAATCGGCTATTTAGTTTATTGAAGGTATTTTAACTGTGTATCTGAGTACAACATTGCACAGGTTTTATTGCTTCAGTTGCTTCAATTGAAATTTAATTTTTTGCTGCTGTAAATAGATGTTCTGTAAAGATTCAATGAGGTGAAATTTTGTGACAGTCAGGTTGATATTTAATTTGATGACAATGACAATTGTAATGGTAAATGTTGGATGACGTGCTTCTAAATTGGTCTACTAGATTGGCAAACTGGAATTAGCAGCAATGTTTTAAGTAAATAGTGCTTGTTAGAAGTGGATGACTATAAAAAAAAAAAAACAATGATCATCAGTCTTCGGCTTATTCTAAAGCATTGTTATAGTGTTGCTGCTTCAGTGTTGCTTTATTGTGAAAGTAGTTTCAAACTGATATGATGGAATCTATTGATTGTAACGACTGATGTACTACGAGTAGTGACTGACAACGACAACTAAGTTTGCGGTTATGGCGATGATGCTGATGGTGCTGATAGTGAGTGGGTAATAGGATCGTTAGGTTTAATTCGTGGTGCAGTGACTGCGTTCGGGTAAATTTAATGATCCGAAGCTGTATGGTGAATTCGCCGTCGTCACCATCGTCGTTGTCGTTGTCGTTATGAAGGGGTTTTCTCGGAGGTTGTAGTAAGCGCTGCCGATAGTTTACATTCAGCTCACTTAAACTAGTTTAGGGTTCTCATCCGCACACTGGCGTTCCCTGTCTTAAGCATTCAGTTCATTTTAATTTTAAATATTCATATACGTGTATTTTCGGTGGTTTTAATACGTTC